GGTGAATTTTCATCAAGCTCAGTTCCCATCACTTGTGGAGTACCCCAGGGCTCTATTTTGGGTCCAATTTTATTCTCCCTGTATTTGCTCCCTCTTCGTTTTATATTTGAGTCTCATAAAATTTCATACCACATTTAAGCTTTATTTTCCTCTAAAATCAGGTTCTGATTCAGTGTCTTCCTTGCTGGCTTGTTTAGAAGACATCAAGAATTGGATGGAAAATAATTTCCTAGAGTTGAATCAAAAAAAGACTGAAGTTATATTGTTTGGCCCTTCTCACCATTTACATAATTTAAGACCTACTCTGGGCCCTTTTGAAGAAAACATCCATGAAAAGGTTAAAAATCTGGGAGTTATTTTTGATCCTGAATTGAAATTTGACAAACAAATTAACTCTGTAGTCAGAGCCAGTTTTTTGCAGCTGAAGGGGCTTCGCAAGCTGAAAAGTTTTCTTAGTTTTAATGATTTAGAGGTTGTTATTCATGCATTAATTTCAACCAGGCTGGATTACTGTAACGCTCTTTATGCTGGAATTAACCAGTCTTCACTATCACGTTTACAATTGGTACAGAAAGCTGCTGCTCACTTTTTGACAGAGACAAAAAAGAGGGAGCATATTACCCCAGTGTTAGCTTCACTTCACTGGTTACCTGTTAAATTCAGAGTTGATTTTAAGGTTTTAGTTTTTAAAGCACTTCATGGTCTTGCCCCAATTTACATTTCAGATCTTCTCCATTTCTATTCTCCTGTGAGAACGCTTAGGTCATCTTCTCAGAAGTTATTGATTGTCCCAAAATCTCGTTTAAAATCTAAAGGGAACAGAGCTTTTTCAGTTCTTGGCCCTACACTCTGGAACTCTTTGCCTTTATCCATTAGATCATCTTCTTTTAAATCATCTCTTAAAACATATCTTTTTTTCTCAGGCTTTTGCTTAACTTGAAAGTACTTTTTTGTTTTGTTTCTGTTTGTTTCTTTGTTTGGTGATGTCTTGCATTACTTATTGTATTATTTAATGATTTCAAATTTTATATTGTCTTAATGCTTTTGTTAGTTGATTTTTCTGGTGTTTTGGTTGTGCAGCACCTTGGTCAGCACTCGTTGCTTTTAAGGTGCTATATAAATAAACTTCACCTTGACCTATGTTTGAGTTTTAAATCAGTTCATTGAAAAGAAATGGACAATTTGAACAGATTCCCTAAAAAGAATCAGTTTTACCAATTTTAACTGTATTTTTCAGACTGAACTTAAATCAGAGACATTATTTAAACATCTTTAAACAAGTCTTAACTCATAATAATACACACTTTAAGACTGGCCAAATAATTTTTTTTAATAAAAAAATCACTGCAAAAGTGCTGCTTAATTTTGTATCACCAGCAAGATCATAATGAATAATCCTAACTGCAAAGATGTAAAGTTCAAGTTATATAATTGCATCTTGCTCTGTGTTTGGTCTCATCATGCAGCTCTGGAGTCTAAGCTGGTCAGCCAGTTCTGTGAGGATGAGAACGGGGCCCTTTACTTCAACCGGATTACCAACGGCTTCAACGGATACGGCTACGGTAACGGCCAAGAGGATGTTTCTTCATACAGGAATAATGTTTACGGGAACAGATTTCAGGAGATTTCACTGGACAGATCTCAGACTCACTCTAGAGGCAGAGGACACAGCATACCTCTTCCCATCAACCCCGGTCCTCTCAAAGCACAGGTCAATCAACACAACTAACTTACTGTGAATTTCTTATGCACGCTAGACTAATGCAGACTGATTTGAACCAGACCGCTGTCTGATTCGGTGTTGTTGCTTCTGTGCAGGTGGAGAATGACTATGAAGGCGAGGATCTAGACATTAAGACACAAACTCAAAGTGGAAGCACTATTGCTGTTGTCAATAAGACTGTCCAACCTGTACAGCCAGGAACATCATCATCATCTTCATCCTCTTCATCATCATCAGTATCAACACATTCTACTTCAGTGAATGTGAATGCAAAGCCTCGTCCTGTAGTGATAAAAGGTAGTTTTTTTTTTTTATACAACTGTTCTTACACAAATTTATTGATGATATTGAATATTGTCAATAGGCTGGAAATATTATATATTGCAAATTATTAAATATTACAAATTATGTTTCTATAATATAAAATTAATAATGAATAATATATATATATATATATATGTGTGTATGTGTGTGTATGTGATAAAAAAATTTCTTTATATTATAAAATAATAAATACAATTTTTATTGATTTTATGTTGACAATATGGAATATTACAAATAGGACAAAAGATAGAATGACAATTGTATTTTATGATATAAATGTATACATACATATAAATGTATAATAATACAATTTTACATATAATAGTTTTAAATATATAATATAATATAAAATATAGATACAAAAAATTTTATACAAAATTTAATATAAAAAAAAATTACTATTATATTTTTAATATATAAAGTAATGAATAACAATATATCATTTTTATGCAAAAGCTGCTATAAAACATAAATATTGACAATATTAAATATTACCAATAGGCTAAAATATTTTATCATAAAAATAATATATAATATTAATTTTGTATACAAAAGTTGTAAAACCTATTGACAATATTAAATATTAAATTGAATATAGTAAGTTTTCTGAATTGATAAATATCGTTTTTATAGTAGGTTTTCTGAATGGTTAAAAGTATATTAAAATGATACTTTTATAATATAAAAAACATTTAAAAAATATATATATATTTTCTGAAAGTGTTTAGTGATATTACTTTCTCTTCTTCGCCCAGAATCGGCTCCTCTGGGTCCTCGGTGTTTGCTCAGTCTGAGTCAGGGCTCCTGTAGAGACTACGTAATTCGCTGGTACTACGACAAACAGGCAAACGCTTGTGCTCAATTCTGGTACGGAGGCTGTCAGGGAAACGAGAACCGCTTCCAGACAGAAGAAGAATGCAAGAAGACGTGTGTCCTCACCGCCAGAGGTATTATTCGCTCCTACGGACATGAATCAAGAGTTAATACAAGATAAGCTCTGTCAACAGCAGTGTTATTAATTATTACATTTATTACAAATATTTGTTACATTTAGCAAAAATAAGCTTAATATTGTTAACAAAAACTAAAACAAATAAAATCAATTTTGGTAACTGAAATGAAGCTGAAATATGAAATTTAAATATTAAATGAAAAACCTAAAAAAAAATAAGAAAAAATAAAAAATTACACACACACACACACAAAAATTATATATATTGAGTGCTGTGAAAATGTTTTTGCCCCCTTCCTGTTTTTTATTTTTTGCACATTTGTCACACTTGAATGATTTAGATCATCAAACTAATTTTAATATTACACAAAGATAACCTGAGTAAATACAAAATGCAGTTTTGAAATAATGATTTCATTTATTAAGGGAAAAAAGCTGTCCAAACCTGCCTGGCACTACGTGAAAAAGTAGTTGCCCCCTAAATCTAATAATTGGCTGTGCCGCCCTTTGCAGCAACAACTGCAATCAAGTGTTTGCGATAACTGGCAATGAGTCTTTCACATCGCTGTGGAGGAATTTTGGCCCACTCTTCTTTGCAGAATTGTTTTAATTCAGCCACATTGGAGGGTTTGAGCATGCCCCAGCATCTCAATCGGATTTAAGTCCGGACTTGGCCACTCCAAAACCTTAATTTAGTTTTTCTTGAGCCATTCAGAGGTGGACTTGCAGGTGTGTTTGGGATCGTTGTCCTGCTGCATAATCCAAGTGCGCTTGAGCTTGAGGTCAAAAATTGACGGCCAGACATTCTCCTTCAGGATTTTCTGATAGAGTGCAGAATTCATGGCTCCATCAATTATGGCAAGTTGTCCAGGTCCTGAAGCTCAGACCATCACACTACCACCACCACCACAATGTTTGACTGTTGGTATGATGTTCTTTTTATGAAATGCTGTGTTGGTTTTACGCCAGATGTAACGGGACACACACCTTCCAAAAAGTTAAACTTTTGTCTCATCAGTCCACAGAATATTTGCCCAAAAGTCTTGGGGATAATCAAGATATTTTTTGGCAAATGTGAGACGAGCCTTTGTGTTATTTTTGGTCAGCAGTGGTTTTTGCCTTGGAACTCTCCCATGGATGCCGTTTTTGCCCAGTCTTGTCAGAGAAAACACAGATTCAGTTTGCAGGTAACAGAAAAAGTTTAATACGCTCACACTGAGCAATAGGGAAAAAACAGAAACACAAAAATAGTCCCAAATCAAAAGTCCACAGGACCAGGAAAGAGCCTCTCAGCAGGGACTGATCCTAGCGTCATCCGTGACGCAGCGTCAAAGTTGCACTGACCAGAGCATCGTTCGTGACGCAGCGATGAGGACTCACTGAGCTCCCCGATGAGAGCGTTTAGCGTGCAGGGAGGGGCTAGGGCGATGTCTCAGAATCTCGACAGAGCTAGAGATAGCCAGGGCAGGTAGCAGAACAGATCTCGACTGGCAGGATGAGAAGGAGACGTTCAAAAACAAAAACAAAACAGCACTCAGGGCTAAAAAGGACACAACACGGCAAGACAAAGCAAACATGACAGGACGGTCACAACCGAAGCATTGCACAACATACAACAACGGTCTGACAAAAGACTGAGCGCGCGAGGATCTAAAATAGGGGAGGGCTAATGAGGAATGAATGGCAACAGGTGTGAAAGAAAACACAAAAGAGAATTAAGGATAACGAGTGGGAGGGGAAAACGCCACACAGACAACGGAGCACATGGTGAGCTGTCAAAACAAAACCCATGTGCTCAGAGACCAAGCACACAGACACAGAAAGACAAAACACAGCAGATCAGACTGAAGTCATGACAGTGATCCTGGTTGGCTCGCTCGGCCTGCCCGTTGGTCTGAGGGTGAAAACCTGAAGACAGACTCGTAGAGGCCCCGATCTGTCTACAGAACTCTTTCCAAAACCGGGAGACGAATTGTGGCTGTTGACTCCAGGAGCTCGGACTATGTGATGCCAGACAGCGGAGAGCTCTCTCGAGATCCTGGTTGGCTCGCTCGGACTGCCCATTGGTCTGAGGGTGAAAACCTGAAGACAGACTCGTCGAGGCCCCGATCTGTCTACGGAACTCTTTCCAAAAGACAGAGACAAATTGTGGTCCTCTGTCGGAGACCACATCCACCGGAAGACCATGAATCCGGAAGACGTGGTCCACGACCACCTGAGCTGTCTCCTTGGTGGAGGGGAGTTTGGGTAAGGGGATAAAATGGGCCGCCTTGGAGAAGCGGTCCACCACCGTCAGAATCACGGTGTTACCTCTCGACGGGGGAAGACCAGTGACGAAATCAAGGGCCACATGTGACCATGGACGAGAGGGAATGGGTAAAGGCTGTAACAGACCAACAGGAGCCTGGTTAGACGTCTTATTCTGAGCGCAAACTGAGCAAGCCAACACAAACTGCCTGACATCTTGGGCCATGGATGGCCACCAAAATCGCTGACGGATGGCAGCCAGCGACCTCCGAACCCCCGGATGACAGACTACTCTGGACTCATGACCCCACTGAAGGACCTCAGGACGCAGCGCAGCCGGCACAAACAACCGACCCCCTGGACACCCCCTTGGGACCTCCCCCCTCCGCACGGCCTCCCCCACCCGCCGCTCGACATCCCAGGAAAGGGACCCTACCACCACCTCCCTGGAGAGAATGGTTTCGGGGCCCGCCTCATCCCCAGGATCCTCGAACAAACGAGAAAGGCCGTCAGGCTTAACATTCTTGGAACCTGACCGATACGAGAGGGAGAAGTTAAACCACCCAAAAAAAAAAAAAAAAAAAAAGGAGTGCCCAGCGGGCCTGGCGAGCATTCAACCTCTTGGCCGAACAGATGTACTCTAAATTCTTGTGATCCGTCCAGACCAAGAAGGGCCACGCTGCTCCCTCCAACCAGTGACGCCACTCCCCCAAAGCCAGCCTGACTGCCAGCAGCTCCCTGTTACCTATGTCATAATTCCGCTCAGCAGGGCTCAGACGGTGAGAAAAGGCACAGGGTTTTTCTCTGGGGAACCGCTGGGACAGGACCGCGCCTACCCCGACATCAGAGGCATCCACCTCAACAATGAATTGCCGTTCAGGATCTGGGAGACAAAGAACAGGAGCAGAGATGAAACGGGACTTAAGAACATCAAAGGCCTCCTGAGCCTGTACATTTCATCTGAACGGTACCTTAGGTGAGGTGAGTGCCGTTAAGGGTGCAGCAACCAGGCTAAAGTTCCGGATGAATCGCCTATAGAAGTTGGCGAACCCCAAGAACCGCTGCAACGCCTTCCGCGAGTCAGGGGTTGGCCACTCAGCCACGGCCCTTACCTTAGTCGGATCAGCTTTGATCCCCTCCGTCAAGATTATATGCCCCAAGAACGAAACCGACTTGGCATGGAACACGCACTTCTCCGCCTTGACGTACAGCTGGTTCTCCAGCAGCCGTTGTAGCACCTGATGGACATGTTGAGTGTGGGCCTGCAAAGAGGGAGAGAAGATGAGAATATCATCAAGGTACACAAAGACAAATCTGTTCACCATGTCTCTCAACACATCGTTCACCAGGGCCTGGAAGACAGCTGGGGCGTTAGTCAGCCCGAAGGGTAGGACCCGGTATTCAAAGTGTCCCGTTGGGGTGTTGAATGCTGTCTTCCACTCATCCCCCTCACGTATACGGATCAAATGGTAGGCATTACGGAGGTCTAGCTTGGTAAAGACCCTGGCTCCCTGTAGCAACTCAAAGGCTGACGACATCAAAGGCAGAGGATACCTGTTTCTTATAGTGATGTCATTAAGGCCCCGGTAGTCAATGCAGGGTCACAGGGAGCCATCCTTCTTCTTAACGAAGAAGAACCCAGCCCCAGCGGGTGAGGAAGAGGGTCGGATGAGGCCGGCATTTAAGGATTCCTGAATATACTTGTCCATGGCCTCCCTCTCAGGACCGGATAGGGAATACAGACGACCCTTGGGCGGAGAAGTGCCTGGGAGGAGATTGATGGCACAGTCATACGGCCGATGAGGTGGTAAGGATGTGGCCCGGGACTTACGGAAGACCCGACAAAGATCGCGGTACCCCTCCGGGACCCCGGTGAGATCGACCTCCTCAACCTGAAAAACAGAAGACACAGAGCCAGGAGACAAGGCAGCACCCAAACAAGACTGACTCCAAGAGAACACAGAATTGCCAGACCAATCCACGTGAGGGTTGTGCTGCACCAGCCACGGGTGCCCTAGGACAACGGGAGCACCCGGGGAATCTAGGAGGTACAGCTCAATCACCTCACGGTGATTGCCAGAGACAATAAGACTTACAGAAGGAGTGGAATTGGTAATGGAGGAGATGAGGACACCATTAAGGGAGCGGACAGAGATAGGAAAGGGAAGTGGAATGGCAGGAATACCCCACAATGCAGCAACAGAGGCATCCAGGAAGTTGCCTTCGGCACCCGAGTCAACCAGTGCTGAACAGGGATGGAAGGTGTCCTTATACTGAACTGAGACTTTGAGCAGGGTACGTGAGATGGGGGAGTCGAGATAAGGAGTAGCGCCCACCAGGATCCCCCGGATTACTGATGGGCTCCGGCTTTTAAAGGACACTGGATAGCCCGATGGCCTGGCTTCCCGCAGTACAGGCAAAGTCCCCGAGTCAACCGATCCTGCTTCTCCTTAGGGGTAAGGCGAAGGTGCCCCACTTGCATGGGCTCTGGGTCTGTTGAAGGAGACGAGGAGGTGGGGGCAGCACTGGAGGCACCCTCCTCCAACCTCCACGAGGATTGAGCTCTCCATCGCTGGCGTCGACGATGAAGGCGCCCCTCAACACGGAGTGTCAGCTCCACAAGGGTGTCAAAATCATGAGTGAGTAACGATCTCATCCTGGATGTCGTCGTCCAACCCCTCCCGAAACCTTGCACGTAAAGCCGCCTCATTCCAGTCACAGGTGGCCGCCAGAGTTCTGAACTGGATAGAGTAATCCGTAACTGAACGTCTGCCCTGACTCACCCGCGCCAACTGTGAGGGATCTCATCCTGGATGTCGTCGTCCAACCCCTCCCGAAACCTTGCACGTAAAGCCGCCTCATTCCAGTCACAGGTGGCCGCCAGAGTTCTGAACTGGATAGAGTAATCCGTAACTGAACGTCTGCCCTGACTCAACCGCGCCAACTGTGAGGCTGCCTCATCGCCCTGAGCAGAGCGGTCAAACAGCTTGATCATCTCAGCTCTGAAATCTTTGAATGTGGCACAGAATGGAGCACGAGTGTCCCACACAGCCGCAGCCCAGTCCCGGGCCTTTCCTTTCAGGAGGGTAATAACAAATGCTACTTGGGACTCCTCTGTAGCATAGCGGCGAGGCTGGAGTGCGAAGACAAGAGAGCACTGGGACAGGAAGGCCCGGCAGGAGTTGGGATCCCCCTCATATGGCGGCGGACTATTAGCATGGGGTTCAGGCTGCGCAGGAGACGGAGAATGACCAAATGTAGCAAGTGATCTGCTGGCCAAAGCCTCCCGCTGGAGTTCCTGTATTTGGACATTGAGATCTGCTACTTGGGCTGTCAGGCACTCAACCTCCCTTGAAGCGGCAGTTAACTGACTGGAATGCTGTCCCAGAAGAATGCCTTGCTGACTTACCGCGACTCTGACTTGGTCTGCACCTGCTGAATCCATCACTGGTCAGACCGTTCTGTCAGGGAAAATACAGATTCAGTTTGCAGGTAACAGAAAAAGTTTATTACGCTCTCACTGAGCAATAGGGAAAAAAGTCAACAGAAACACAAAAATAGAGGAAGTCCCAAATCAAAGTCCACAGGACCAGGAAAGAGCCTCTCAGCAGGGACTGATCCTAGCGTCATCCGTGACGCAGCATCAAAGTTGCACTGACCAGAGCGTCTTTTGTGACGCAGCGTTGAGGACTCACTGAGCTCCCCGATGAGAGCGTTTAGCATGCAGGGAGGGGCTAGGGCGATGGCTCAGAATCTCAACAGAGCTAGAGATAGCCAGGGCAGGTAGTAGAACAGATCTCGACTGGCAGGATGAGAAGTTCAAAAACAAAAACAAAAACAAAACAGCACTCGGGCTAAAAAGACAACACGGCAAGACAAAGCAAACATGACAGGAAGGTCACAAGCGAAGCATTGCACAACATACAACAACGGTCTGACAAAAGACTAAAATAGGGGAGGGCTAATGAGGAATGAATGGCAACAGGTGTGACAGAAAACCCAAAAGAGAATTAAGGATAACGAGTGGGAGGGGAAAACGCCACACAGACAGCGGAGCACATGGTGAGCTGTCAAAACAAA